GAGCAGCCAGGGAATGTGAGAGCCAGGGACTGGTGCGACCCTGCCTCCACTGCGCAGCCAGAGCACTGCCTGCGAGCTCGACCTGACCCCAAACCTGCGGTGGGCCAGTGGTGTTGCTGCTCCTTGAGGGCCATCTTGGACTGACTGCCCTGACACCCGGACATGGCAGGGTTATCCCCAGGCTTGCTCCCTTGCCCCTCACGAGCTGGAGTGCTCCTCTCCACGCTGATGGGGGCTACAGTTCCCTCTCTCCAGCCCCAGATGTGCTCAGGTGGGCAGGCCTCTTCCTGCACTTGCCCCAGCCAGAGGCCAAAGGGCTGCCTCCTTGCCCCATCACCCAGCAGAATGGCAGCAGGGGCCATTCCCAGCATAGGCATGGGTACTAGAAGAGGCAGGGCTGGCAGGGGGTGGGTGCTAGCGAGGGACAAAACAGTGCCTGAGAAGTGGGAGCGGGGGGCAAGGGCTGAGCCCCAGCTGAAATGGGGGTTGCTGCTTGCCTAGTGTTTGCAGGCTGGATGCAGTTGGAGGTGGGGGGTGTTGCCTCCCCCCAGTGCCCCAGGGGGAGGCTGCTCCCAGGTGTGCATGGGGCTGGGGGAGGGGGTTACAGAAATGGAGCCAGGTGCAGGGGAGGGGGCAGAGAGCGTGACTGTATCAGCCATGAGCTCTGATATCAATAAAGAGACCAACCACAAGCCAGATGTCACCGGTGTGGTGTGTGCCTGGTGCCTGCGAGAGCAAAGCAGGGGTGCCTGCAGTGAAGGACCCCCTAATGAGGCTGAGACCATGGCCCCCCCCGTGGTCGTGATTTAGGAGCACCTCCACAGGCAAAGGGTGCGGGCTGCACGCAGCTGGCCCAGGTACAGGGCATAGGCAGAGTCCCAAGCCTGGGACAGGATCTTGTGCTTGAGGGGGTGTTTTTTGTACCTTTTATCTTTTTTATAACAAAAATATCTGTGTTTTTGTGCAGGGGGTGGGTAGTGCATGGACACGGCCCAGAACACGGTCTCTGAGGGGCAGTGGGCAGGATGGCAGGGAGTGGGGCCATGCAGGCAGCTCTGGCACGGGCGGGGAGGTGGGGGCCAAGCTGCCGCAGCCTCCAACCCTGGGAGCCGGGCCGTGTTGGTGCAGGTCCGGGGGGTGGGGGGAGCTATGCTGCATTCTCCTCCGTGGTAGCTGCCGTATAGATGACCTTGGGCTTGTCCAGGGAGTCCAGCCTGGGGAGCACACGGGGGGGGGGGGGGGGTAAGGGCGAGGGCCCTGGCTCCCCTTCACCCCCCG